AGGAAGTAGAGACGCTGCTGTGCTTTCTTGGCCAGTGCTGCGGTGTTGTCAGTCCAGGAGAGGTCCTCTGTGATGTGCACACCCAGGAACTTGGTGCTGCTCACTCTATCCACAGTCGCACCATTGACGGTCAGAGGTGCATGCTGAGTGCGCACTTTCCTGAAGCCAACAACAATCTTCTTCGTCTTCTCCACATTCAGAGAGAGATTGTTGTCACTGCACCACCCGGCCAGGCGGCTCACCTCGCTCCTGTAGTTGCTGTTTTATTTGCATTTTTCCGCGGTTGCAAAACTGATTGAGATTACATGACATGAGCGTGTTTATTTCGCGTTATAACCGGTTGTAACTATAGAAAAGAGTTTTAAAGGGAAGGGGTGATGATATTTGGCTCACTCTGGGTCGGGTTATGGCACTGTTTTGGTTCAGTTCTGGCTAAAAAGATCTGGACCCGTTTTGGGCCGGCAAACACGAACTAATCTGGGCCACACTTTATCTGTTGATATGATCCAGATCCGCGGCAAAGGAAATTTGCTGACTGGGTCGCTCTCTGCACTTCCGCTTGCAGCGGTCTGTCTGTAATTTGTTGTCAATAATAATACCCAGATATTTATACTCTGACACTGAGGTAATTTGGCTCCCCTGAGAAGTTTGAAGGACAACAGAGTTCTCTAAAGAAGTTCTAGAATTTGAAAATAGCATACATTTAGTTTTTTCAACATTTAAAACCAACTTCAAAGCATGAAACCTGTTTTGGATAATATCAAAAACAGACTGTAATGCAGCCACTTTAAAAAACCTGGTACCGTAACGTTTTCATTTTTTTACTACCGACTTGGTACCGAAGTACCGGGTCTTTTGACAACACTACTCTGCTGTCAGAAGCAACAAACTTCATAAACTGCAAAGACAACTAGATGAGTAACAACTCAAGTTTACCCAGCCTCACACAGTCAGTTCACAGTGCAGTGTCAGTGGTGTGTAGATCCCTGAAAGCCCTAAGAGATGTCCTGGAACACATGGCTGCCTCGAACAGTCAGGACTCAGAGAAAGCCAAAGGGTTATTGATTGCTGTTCGGCAGTTCAACTTTGTGGCCCTGTGTCACATGATGAAGGATGTGCTTACACATATAGTCCTTTTTTCCAAGCATTTTCAAAGGGAAGGCTTGGACTTCTCCACAGTCCAACCAATGACCCAGAGTACCAAAGAAGCACTGAGACAATTAACAACCCATCCTGGTCCTGCAGAACAAGAATTCTTCAGTTGTCTTGAGGGAAACAAATTTAAAGGAGACAAACTTTTTGAATGCCATATACAAAGCAAACAACATAGGGCCCAATATTGACCCTTGGGGTACGCCACAAAAAAGAGGGGCAGCAGATGAAGAAAATTCACCAAGGTGAACAGAAAAACTTCTGTCTGTCAAATATGATTGAAACCATTTAAGTGCTATGCCCTTAATGCCGACATACTGTTCTAGTCTAGATAAAATAATTGAGTGGTTGACCGTATCAAAAGCCGCAGTCAAATCCAAAAGGATTAAAACAGCAGAGTTACCAGAGTCCACAGTTAAAAGAAGATAATTTGAAACTCTTAAAAGAACAGTTTCTGTGCTGTGACGGAGCTTAAAACCAGACTGAAATTTTTCATAAATACTAGATTCATATAGAAATGATTGAAGTTAATTAAAAACAACTCTCTCCATAACTTTCGATAAAAAGGGGAGTTTAGATATAGGTCTAAAATTAGACAACATTGAAGGATCCAAGTTGTTCTTTTATAGAAGCGGTTGCACAATGGAATGTTTAAAAACAGCTGGTACACACCCTGAGCTGAGAGATGTATTAACCAAAGATACAACGCTTGGCCCAACAGTGTCAAAGACATCTTTAACTAAGCGTGCAGGAATACTGTCAAGGGGGCAGTTTGCAGGACGTTGCTGTTTAACTATGTCAGAAAGATAGGAGAATGTAACCGGCTCAAACTGTTGAAAGACAGCTGGGCAAAAAGAGAAATCAAGGGAGGCAATGATAACCGTGATGGGTGGAAAACTAAGACCAGCAATTTTGTCCACAAAATATTTCAGAAAGTTTTCACATAATATTAAAGATGGCATAATACAATCTGAATCACGTGGGTTAACAAGAGAGTTAAAAACATTAAAAAGAACCTGAGGCTGCTGGCTGTTACTGGCTACAAGGTCGGGAAAAAATGTAGTTTTAGCAGATTTAACTGCTCTCTGGTACTTAAAGGGGTCATATGATGCGATTTCAAGTTTTCCTTTCTCTTTGGAGTGTTACAAGCTGATTGTGCATAGATAAGATCCCTGAAGTTGCAAAGACTAAAGTCTCAAAACCAAAGAGATATTCTTTATAAAAGTTAAGACTCTGCCACGCCCCCCTAAAACGGCTCGTTCTAACACGCCCCCACATATCTACCTCACTATGTGGAAATATTTGCATAATGCCACCCAAATGTGCACGCAAAGAAAGAAGGCATGGTTTCAGTAACCGCAGTTAGTGTTGAAGCAGCCATGTCAGGGAGACGCTGTGTGTTTCTAGGCGAAAGCAAAAGCACTTTATTTGGCCTTCCGAAAGTAGATGCATTTAGGAATCTTTAAGATTAGCTACTTACAACAGAACAGCAATGCATTTTATGGACGACCGTTTCGTGAAACTAGGAGGTAATTCTGACTTTGCTATGACAATCTGCCGCTTCTGAATCAGCGACTGTAAGTATGTTTTGTTACTAGTTTAAGTATTTGCTATTGACTGTTCAAAAGCGGAGTTTTGCGCATCGTGTGTGTGTGTG